TCAGTCATACCTGCATACACAGAACGTAGCCATCTTGGAAAACAGAGGACCTGTGTCTTTTCCTTCAAATACTCCAACCCACTTGGGAAAGCACAACTTCATTTATATGTCTTTTTTTCTAATAACTGGCTATTTATAACATGTTTGAGCAAGAAAGATAACTAGAAACCATAAAGCACACATACTTCATTTAACTAGTTGAGGAAGTAAAACCCAAAGGTTAATACGTTAACCTGTGCTATCTTCCATAGCTGGTTCTGGAAAAAAACAAAACTTGAGCCCAGGTGTTTGGCCCTCCCAGCCCAGCACCTTGCCACCTTAGGTAGTGTTATGGCCCTAACAGTTCTTCAGTAGGACCTTCTACTTTTCACCTGGAGTGAATTTTGAAGAACAAAAGAGCAGGGAAGGCTTTTTGGCTCTTTCCTGTCCATATTCCATTTCCCAGCATTCTCAGCCTCACCCTTTCCGGCTGAGCATTTCCTTAAGGATAATGAATAAGCATGAATTGAAGACAACTCAGCTCAGATTTGACTAACTTTTGCAAATTTTATATATAGCCTATATATATAGATAATTATTTGGGCAACTGCAGTAGCATCACCCACTGTCGATTGTTGATAAGCTGAGGAGTGGGGCGGGGAAGGGTATCAACTTTTGTAAATATTTTCCACTGCCAAGAATAACAACAGTTCATGAATATGGGCAGTGAGTTTTGCCTGGAAAAATACCTATCTGAATGGAGGGACATTTTCTTAACTTTCTGGCACTATTACGGGCAAGGAGAACATGCATCTTCTACCTGGTTTTCCTCACACCATTTTTTTCTCCTGAAGAGATACTTAAAAATTAAGCAACAAGTTTGGTGCGCTTTCTCTGTGTAGACCAGCGTCTTCTGAAGGCCGGAAGGAAAAATCATTCATGAACCTCTGCCCAAATATGCCTCAGACCAAAAAATGCACACAGAACTGAATGCTGGAGCAAATACATAGTAATAACTATAGTTTAATCATACCTAGTACAAATCTATTTAATTTACAGACACATTTCATTTCAACGCTTTTTAAATGATTGATCTTGAAATGCTCTATTTTTGAATATTAAATTTTACTATAGTAATAAAAGTGTAATAGTATTTTTTCCCTTTCTAGGTGTTCATCAGGCAACAGTTATTGTTCTAGCAATACTAGAGCAATCTCTGATTGCAAAGATGTATGAGAATACTTCTGTTTTTTTCTCATTTTTAAAATTTACTACTCTACTTACAAGTCATGTTATTAGTTGTTGCTGAGATACTGCCTTTTTGCTCAGCACAGCTCTCTTTTACTATGTTTTGCCAGATAAATGAGTTATAAATAAATGTATCTCAATAGAATATTCTTTTTTATTACTTTCTTTGCTAGATAAATAAAACTAAAAAAAACCTTGTTCTATTACCTAAAAATTTAGCAGAAAACTTCATGTTCTTTTAAAACAGAAAAAAAAATGTCACTGGCTGAATCTTGAAGCTTGTTAGACTTCTAAATTCTTTCAGAAACAAAAAGTAGCATATTTATGTTTTACAAAATTGTTAAGTGTTTTATTGCAGTTGATATAATTTGATGCATGTAGTATACTTAAAGTTTTTTTATGTCACAATCATGTCCTTTTTAAAAAGCCTTTAGCAGGCCAAGTGTGATGGTTCATGCCTGTAATCTCAGCACTGTAGGAGGCTGAGGCAGGAGGATTACTTGAGCCCAAGAGTTCGATACCCCTCTGGGCAGCATTGCGAGGCCTCATCTCTACAAAAATTTTTTTAAAAACCAGACAGTCTTGATAGCACACACATGTAGTCCCAGCTACTCAGGAGGCTGGGGTGGAAGGTTCCTTTGAACCTAGGAGTTCAAGGCTACAGTGAGCCGTGGTTATGCCACTGCACTCCAGCCTGGGCAACAGAGCGAGACCCTGTTTCAAAAAAAGCTTTTAGCAATGAATTTTTTTAATTTCCCATATAACACTTTTCCCTCTTTCTTCTGAAAGTAAAATTATTTATGAAACTGTGGTTTAGCAACAAGAAGAGACAGAAAATGATATCTTTTTGTTCCTTCACGAGAGGCAATGGAGTGTAGTGTGCTAGAAAGAGCTCTGGACTGAGAAGAAGGAAACGTGGGTGCTGCTTCCAGCTCTGCTGTAATATCAGTGTTTGTTAGATGGTTGGATCAGTGAATAGACACAAACTCTTTGAACCTCAGTTTCCCAATTACCAAGTTTAGAACCTGGAGTAGATTATGCCTCCTACTACTCTTAAAATTTCCTCATTGCATGTAAGCAATGTCTGCCTTCTTACTGGAATCCTTTGTTGTGAAATAGTCTTCTCAAGGATTGCCATAATGGAATACATTTGGTATGTATTAGTGTAGTGATACTTCACCTATTTTTTAATTGCTAATTCATCTCCCTCCACTTGGAAACATTCCTTACCTAATTACACAGGAAGCCAGTGATTGGTGGGGGGGATGAGGGGGAGGTCTTGGTTTTATACCTTTTCTAATGCTCTAACATGTGAGATTAGTTTCCCTGAATTCTTTTTGTCCAAATCTAAAATCAAAAATTTTCATACATTTTTATACCTGTCCCAAATTCAGTTCTTAATTTAATGAGCACATATCCATACATGAGTTTATCTACAGAAAGTCTTGCTGTCACGTTTTAAGGCCCTACTGCTCGATTAAACTCATGCTTGGTAAACATTTCCCATGCTGTTTATTTTGTGTGAAACTTCCACTTCTGTAAATAACCTGCCCAAGAGAAGTGTGGAAGGACAAAGATCGACTAGAAAGAGAGAAAGTAGGTGAGAAAAAGAATGGAAAAAAATACATGAGGATCCAAGATTATCTTGCAGGAGAGTTTCTGGTGTGGATTTGTTACTTTGTTTGAAATAAATTACTAGAATAGCAGGCATAATCACATTCAAATTTAACTACAACATCTGTTTAGTGGATTATTATACAGACATTAAGATTATATCTATGAAGAATTCTTAATTTACTGATATGTAATATGGTAACTGAGTAAATAAATTTTGTATATAGTTTGATCTAAACTAAAGGGAAATAAAAACACCAACATATTAACTGCAGTTTTCTCCAGATGATCATATTATTTTTCATTTGTGTTTTTACTTTCAAAAAACAACATAGTTTTTGTTAAAAATGTACCATAAACATTATGTTGTGGGTTTTTTTTGTATTATTGCAAATTGGGGTTTTCTCATTCCTATACTCATAGAAGAATGGCCCCAGAAGAGGAACATCTCAAAGAGGTTCAACTTACTCCTCGTACCTGAGGGGACAGCTGCAGGACATGTCCCAACTATCAGGGAGAGAGTCCAGTAGCATCAGACGTGGGAAAGTGGATCTAAAACATCACAGGGTCAGCAATGCAGGGTTGAGGTCCCACATGCTTTCATGTCATTCACTGAACATTTATTGATGGATGCTAGCTACATACTGGAGATCTCAGAAGAATACGAAGACATATCTCAGACTAAAAGGAACTGATGGACTTTTAGGAGAAGACAAATAAATCTTAAGTGTAATGAAAAAGCTGTATACAGAGGAAATCACAGCATAAGAGCAGAGTAGTCAGATTGGCCCAGGGAATCCAGAGGCGATGTTTGAGTCTAGAGTTGGTCACAAGGATGGGGCAGAGTTGCACATGTAAAGACCATTGAGCATGAGCCTGCATGATGGCTTCTGGGACTTATGATTATTTTAGTAAGAGTGGACACAGATTGTAAAACAGATAAGAACACACTTATCTGGTAAGGAAAGTGACAGGAGAAAATCATGACTGTCTTTGAGGGTCCTGCTGTAGTGTGGCTCTTGTCCTATAGATGACAGAAACCATTTAGAGGTTTTAAAGCTGTGGATTTACATTAGGTTTGCACTTTAGAGAGATTATTTTGGTGGTGGTAAGGGACAATGGGAGAAATAAAAGGTCAGAGGGAAGCTGTTATGATGATCTAAGCCAGAGGAGCAGCTGACCTGAACTGGGAGGGAAGGGGATGACAAACAGAATGAAGAGGAGGGATCGGACTTGAGAGACAGTGAAATATGGACTTGGATCCAGTAGTCTGTTGGATTTGGAGTGTGAAAAAAAGGGGGAATAGGAGGATTCCTGGGATTCTGATGAATTCTGGTAGATAGAAGAACCAACCATTAAAATAGGGATTAGACCAGGCCCAGTGCTCAGGCCTGTACTCCCAGCACTTTGGGAGGCCGAGAGACCCCGCCTCTACAAAAATAATAATAATAATAATAGCTGGGCATGGTGGTGTATGCCTGTAGTCTCAGCTATTCAAGAGGCTGCGGAGAGAGTGTCACTAGAGCCCAGGAGTTGGAGGCTGCAGTGAACTATATTGCACTACTGTACTCTAGCCTGGGCAACAGAGTAAGACGTTGTACCCCCCCAAAAAAAAAGAAAAGAAAAAGAAGGAAGGAAGAAAGGAAGGAAGGTGGGGAGGATGAGGATGAGGAGAGAGAGAGAGAAAAAAGAAAAGAAAAGGAAAGAAAGAAAAATGAAAGAAAGAAAAATAGGGATTATAGCGGGAGATACTGGGAAATAACGCGTGGCTACTCTGGACACACTTAAAGCCCTTTTTGTCCTTCCATTTCTTCCATTCTACCTCTTCCTGTCTTTCTAGCCCTTCCTGCTCTTTCTGCCTTTTTTCTTTCCACCAATTTGTTTAGTCATTTAGTAAACTTTTATTAAGCCCTCACTGTATACCAGGCACTATCCTAGCCATGTCCTAAGTCCATTGTAAACCACATCAATTTCCTGTATCTTCTACCACACGAGGGAAGAAAGTAATTTTTACAAACACAACTGCTAGGTTTCTCTGGGTCAGTTCACAACTCATCAGGCATAAGACACAAATTGCTTGACTTCTTTCAAATGGCATTGCATGATATATATTTTTATATTGGAGCTACCACTAATACTAATGGCCATTTTCTTTCTAGGTAGTGCCATTATTTCTGTTATGTTTCTGAAAGAAAACTTGAGAGCTTCAGATTTACTAGGTAAGTAATTATTTAATTCATGTAATTATAGCATTGTGTGATTAGGAAAGAAACCATAATATGTACTAAAAATTTGTACTTTTAAAACTGGAAACAGGCCAGGCATGGTGGCTCATGCCTTTAATTCTAGCACTTTGAGAGGCCAAGGTGGGAGGATTGCTTAAGCCCAAGAGTTCAAGACCAACCTGGACAACATAGTGAGACCTCGTCACTACAAAAAAATTTAAAAATTAACTGGGCATGGTGGTACACGCCTATAGACACAGCTACTTGGGAGGTTGCAGAGTGAGACCCCAACTCAAAAAGATTAAAATAAAATAAAATTGGAAACAAATGACTAAAATGGGTGTAAATCTCATTTAGAAGTGAGCATCATTCTGTCTTGGAGCTCCCATCTCTGCCCACATGAAAGACTTCCATTGTCACTGTGACCACTGTGCATGCTATTGGCCATCGCAAATTATTATTTTGTAATAATATTAATGTTATGAAATTTGTATGAGCATAATAAAATCTGATGAAAGCTTCCATGTTACCTAGAGGGCTATTCTACATCAAAGGATGTATTTATTATAATAAAAACCACAAAAAATTAGATGTACCAGCAAACTACCTAATTTGTACTTAGCTTTCTCCAAAGGTAACACAGAACATTGCTCTTTAAAATTTTATTTGTAAATACAGTTATTAATGTAAAACAACAGTAGCCTTCCTGGCTATCAGAAACATTTCTGTTATATAGTAAAGCCACTGTTTATTTATTGTATCCTCCAGCTCTTGTTGGAAATATCATTGGTGAGAGGAATTATAGGGATTCCTATTTTCTTTTTTTTTTGAGTTGGAGTCTCACTCTGTCGCCCAGACTGGAGTGCAGTGGCCGCTCCCGGCCACCGCAGCCTCAACCTGCTGGGCTCCGACGATTGTTCTGCCTCAGCCTTCCAAGTAGCTGGAACTACAGGCACGCGCTACTACACCTGGCTGATTTCTTTTTATTTATTGTAGAGATGAGATCTTGCTGCCCTGGCGGGTCTCGAACCCACAGGCTCAGGAAATTCACTCACCTCAGCCTCCCAAAGGCGCGAGATTACAGGCTGAGCCACCGAGCCCGGCTTCCTAGTTTCTTCCTTGACAAAATTCTGTTTGAATTGCTGCTGACATATGCTAATGAATACAGACACTTTAGGCACTTTGAATAAAACAATGCCTGCTCTCTTCTAAGGAGATCATATTTTTTAAAAAACTTGAACTCTAAATGTGGTATCAGTGTTGGTATGTTGAGCATTTGTTTTCCCTGATCATGTTTCCCTTGAGCCTAATGTCTTAAAAATGTTTTCACTTTTTCTTTTCCTCCTTGGTTTGATTCTGCTAGCAGAGTTTTTAGTCAACATTGTCAAATTTTTCATGGTTAAGTGTTTTTCTAAATGCATTCATATGTGGGTTGTATCTTTTCCAGCATATTCTTTTTCTATACTCTTTTTTATGGATGATGGTTTATGGAATCATTTGGGAAAGTAATATGAAATCAGAAGTAAGAATCACCAGTACCTGAGTTTTATAAATTTAAAATCAGGTCCTACATTATTTTTCTCATTTATCAAATGAGGAAAATTTTAAGTCATTTTATCTAACATCTGCCATCTTTTGTAGTTAGTGGTTGATTAGCAATCAAATTAATCTAAGATATTTAATGAGATAATGCAGATTTAAATGGGGATTTTCTAATTATCTTAAATATTAGTCATAAAAAGAAGATTAAGCTAGAATACCTGCCCCCAAATAATTTATAGTCCATGATAAACTATATTCACAAACAAGCTTTTTTTAAAGTAGAAAAGATATGTATCCTAATGCCTGCCGTGAGCCTTGAGTTTACAAAAGTGATTCTGAATCAGCATTACTGATATTTTGGTCCAGATAATCCCTCATTGCAAGGGACTGTCCCATGGACTGTAGAGTCTTTAGCATCCCTCCTGGCCTTTTCCCACTTGATGCCGCTAACACCCTCCCACCAGTTATGACAACCAAAAATGTCTCCATACATTCCCAAATATCCCCTGGGGGATAAAATCACTTTCGGTTGAGAGCCACTGGTTTAGAATAAAGAGAGATTACCCCAGCTGGGAAGATCAGAGATAATTTTTTCCGGCAGAAGTAACATTTGAATTGGTTCTGACTGCTGGGTAGGACAGAAGTAGGCTATATCCAAGGATGTGAAGGACAAACAGAGGGAACAACAGAAAAGTTCACAAAGGTGCAAAAAAGGTAAGGTAAAGTCTCTGTTTCCTACTGTACTGCAATGGCTGCCGATAAGGATTAGGGGAAGATAAATGTAAGTGTCACTATGGAATGGAAGAAACAAACATCAATATGTACAGGCGATTTGATTATATACTTAGAAAACTCAAGATCAACTAAACATTATTAGAAGCAATAAGCTTCTAAGTAGAAGAACATTACTAGAAGCAGTAAGTTAAACATTAAAGGATATAAATTCAACTTACTCTCATGACTTCAATCTCTGAATTCGACCTCTGCTATCAACTGTATGGCCAACCTAGTATTAGTTAATGTTTCTAAGCTGACAAATATACTAATTTAAGACTATTTGAAGGTCAAAGTGGATAATTCATATAAAAGCACTTTAAAAAATGCAAAGCTTTGTCAATATAACTGTCATAATTTCTACAATCATCTTCATACATGAAAGATTCCTAAGAGGTAATATTAAAAGTGTAACATAAGGAGTGAGAAACATGCACATACAAACACGCGCACACACACCAAGAAAACAAACTAACTAAATAAAATCTCTAATTTAATTCATTAAAATTTTTCTAACTCTTCATATTTTAATGACAGCTAACACTTATTAAATATTTACTGTTGTCAGATACTATTATAAGTGTTTTATACATGGATTATCTCTTTTAAATGAAGGAATAATTCATTAATAGAAGCAAAATCTGATATTTAGAGAGGTTAAAAACTTGCCCAAGTTATAACTTGTTTGTTTGCCTTCCTGACTTAATACTCTTTGATTAAGACTGTATAACTGATAAATCACATTTGCCTCACATCATAGTTAGAAATAATCAATTTTGCATTTAATCTAGTGACACTGGAATAAAAAAGGATTTAACCACCCATTAATATCATAAGATTATCATCATCTGAGATGTAGTAATTCAGTCCATAACTAAGGAAGTCAGGGAAGAGCTTTTCCCAAGCTCAATCAGTAATGTGTTAAGTCATATGTGTTTTCTTTGGGCCTTTATTGCTGTTGCCTTGAGAAAATTTAGCTCTTTCTGTTAAAAGCAAAAAATGCATTTTTTTTTCTTTATAGGGACTAAAACCAAACAGGGGAAAGAGTGGTTAGTGGTGTTTTTTAAAGATTAACATATGAGCATGCTAAAAATTAAATTGTCAGAATGTGTAAAGGAAAATCGTTTATTTTTCCCTGTTTCAAGCAAAGGAAAGTTTGTTTTTCATGATGGAACAAATGAAGATTTTGGGGCCATGTGGAAACAAGCTGAACTAATTTATTGCCAAATGTTACTCTGTGGCTATGAAGCTTTTCACCACTAGTCTCAAAAAAATGACCTCACAAAAGCTATGTCTGAAAGGAATGGCCAACTATTATTAATTCAATGACAGGTTTTGGACTGTACTCTGATTCTTAGTGGATTAATAATTTTAAATTATTTAAATGATTATTTTTTCCTTTTAAAATTTCTCTCCACTTCTAGCAACTAAAAACTATAGTATTTTCTTCTCTCTTCTCCTTTAGTCATCAAAAGTACCCAGTCTAATAGTCTGTGAGCTTCTAGTTGATTTAAGACCAGATAGTGTCATAGTAAGAAATAAAAATTGCAGTCAATTCATCAGCACTCTCCAGAGACCAGTGATTTGATTACTTCAAGTCACTTATAAAGGGTTTCCCAGATAAAATGTCAAGAGGTTAACTGTGAGATGAAGACCATTTCCTTCTTGCCTTTTCCCATGCCAGAGGTCAGCTTGGTTTGGGGCCAGTGTGTAGAACAACCACTAAACTAGTCAAATGACCCATCATCTCTAGTTGAGGAGACAGATTGACTGTTTTGGTTGCAGAGCTGTCTCAAGAATGGAAGAATTTCCTCACAGAAGGTCCGGGGCTACTTGGATTCACTACCTTATTGAGATTTTCAGTCAGGCTTATGGTTGGCTGCCATACATATGAGCGTGCTGCACTTACAGGAGAGTCTTCCCAAATGGCTTGAGTAATACAAAACTATTTAGCAATTTTTGAACTAGAATTTAGCAATTGTAGTTTATTCTGTGACTTCTGGTAGCCCACAAAAGGTGGACTCCCACTGATTAGGAGATACACAGGGGTGGGGGGGAGGAAAAACTGGAATTTATTTATAAAAAGTTGTATAGCTATTCTTACATGTTTAAACTTAAGTCACCTTCAAAGTACTCTCTTTTTGAGGCAATACACCTATTGAGATGCTTTTTCCACTGCTCAGAACTGTGATTGAACTCGTCACTTTTGATGTCGATTAGTGCTTCTGCTGTTATTTTTCTTTCACCTCTTCCACATTGGCAAAACTTTTTTCGTCTTGAGACACAAAAAAATTTGCTGGAGGCAAGATCAGGTGAATTAG